TAGCTCTCCGGGTATTACATAAGTCATTATAAGCGCTAAATCAATGTCTGGCCGCACGTACACCACATGTCCGACTAATCCATCGATGCTATTGTTATTGTTTTCGTCCCACCAAAACAAGTCTCTCATTTTGTACAAATTATAAAATTCAATCATAACGTGTGTCACGTCTCTGACCACATGAGCGTTGGTTACGATTAGACCCGAAGAGCTCACTATAACGCCTGTCCCAAAGCAGCCGTCGGCAGTGATCTTAACCACAGATTGGGCGCAATTGTCGTATAACTGCTGAAAACCAGTGTCCAAATGAGCGCTTCTTATAGCCATATATGATCTCAATTGTATGATTGGTTTAAAGTTTGTATGATTTCTATCGTTGTGTTGAAACCAATGTTTGCCAACAATTATAGGAATCGTTGCGACACAACATGTACTGAATTTATGTGAGAAAATCAAAATTATAATAGAAATATAATATTTATGTCTTAAAATTACACCTTTTCGTAAATTTTAAGTATAAGGCTCTCAATCGATACATTTTGGATAAAACTAACTAAAATAATAGTTTCGCAATAATTAATGATTTAATCATTAAAAATAACTCAAGAATTTACAATTTAAATCATTAAACAGTTATATGTGTTCACACATCAACTTATATATTGACCAAGTTTTCAATTATTTGAATATTCAATTAAGTTAAAGCAGTAACTCTCGCGACTAAACGAGGATTTTAAAATAAAACTCAATTAAAATACAGTATTTATTGTTAAAATAACAAATCACTGCAATTGCTATTAAATTATAGTTGTTTTGACAAACAATTACACGTAAATACAACTAAAAAGTGTTGCCATTGTTTGTGTCGATTGTCTTTTCTGGTAATAAAACCAATAATACGTTTGTTATAATTGGACGAGAAATACATAATTAGAAAAATGACGTTTGAATTGTAATCTTTGAATCAAACAATTAAAATAAATGTAATGAAACCCAGAGTCACGAGATTTGAGGAAACAGTAATTCAAAAACAAAATCTTTAACGTAAACCAGATTTGATCTCAAGAAATGGCAAATTTTTGGAATCAACCCCTTCCTCCTCATGAGGACAATACAACCACTTTGGATGACCACAAACTTGATATCCGCCGCGAATGGCGCAAGAGTTACGAATTGTTGGTGAAGATCAGTGACGAACATCCGCTCAACTTTCAAACCAGAGATTTATTTCCTAAATTGAGCTTTGATTTGGAAGTAATGATCAAAAGACATCTGTCGACAGACAATGTCGAGTACCTGTCCGTCGAGTTTATGGTCGACGACGACGTGGACCCGACGGCGGACAGACCAAGAAATCGGGATTTGACTCAAAACGATACGTTTATACTGTCGGTTACCGTCGGACTGATCAACACTAGCGGACAGTTTGTGAAAAGTAAGCGCTGGTCATTGCCTCAAAGTCCCAGTAGTAAAGTGTGGTTCGGTTGGCCGGAGTTTATTGAAAAATCGGAAGCATTGGATCAGGAAAAGCAACTTTTGGAAGACAGTTGTCTTAAGTTTTGGTTTGAGATCAAAGTGATGGATAAGCGGATAGAAGAGCACGAGATTCAGTCCATTGTGGACACAGACGCCAAGACTGGCTTTGAATCGCTGGAGAACGACAAGAGTTTGACTGATTTCACGCTTGTGGTCGACGACCAGGAGTTCGCCGCTCACCGCACTGTTCTGGCGCTCCGGTCGCCGGTCTTCAAGTCAATGGTCACAACCGATATGAAGGAGAAACGCGAGTCCAGAGCTGTTCTGTCAAATGTTGACAAAGAGGTCTTCGAGAGAGTGTTGAAATTCATTTATACGGCAAATGTGGACACAATGACCGAACCGATGGCACACGAGCTCATCAAAGCCGCCGACTACTTCCAGATCGATGGTCTAAAGGATGCGATCGCTCAGAGTTTGTTCGGACAGCTGACCACCGATAATCTCTTCGCCGCCATCGAGTTTGGCCGCAAATACACCATCAATGGTCTCATGAAGAATGCCTTCAATTTCATCGCTGATTATCGCGAAGAACTCGTCCGAAGTGTAGCGGAGAATACCAATCATTAAATTCAAACGTTTATTTGTATAAAACTTTGACAAAATTTGTAATTTATAGTTTTGTTTGCATTTTACAAAATATGACATTAAATTATTTATGACTTAAAATTTAGTTTACAAAACAAATTCAGTAGTTTCTAAATTAGTTTCTAAATTATTTATTTATTTTCTATATAACTGTAGCGTAAATACAAAATAAGAATAATGTGAAAAATAAATCATTTAAACTGAAGAGACTTTAGCGTCAAATAATTGATCAATTGTTACATTCAAATGTCTGCTATTTCTTCTAACTCTAAGATTTAAATAGTTTTCTTCATTTATATTATCGATGGCTTCAGTCAATTGGGAAATGGATGTCAAATCAATGCCATCCACTTCTGTGATAATATCATCCAATTGTAAACCAAAACTAGAAAATAATAATACATTTAGTTTTATAAATTAAATAGATATTTGAAAATTTATATAAAACAAAATAATTAAAAATCATATTTTATCACAAACTCTGAATTTTCATTAATTGGGTTTTTATCGGCAATGTATACAACTCTATAGGAATTATCGGTTTGTCTCTCAACCATAACTCCCAACGACTTCTTCCCATTCATCGAGTATTTCTTTTCTCTCATAGTTTTAGCAAATATTTCACCACTTTTTATAAATTCTTCATTTATTTAAATAACAAAATAAGAGTTTAATATTAAAACCAATAAAAAGTGGTTGTAATCAATACAAATACAACAAACCGTTGACATCGGGTGCAAAAGCAGCGCATCTCACGTGAAGTGCGCGGAGAAAGTTAACGCCAATGAGATGTCCCGTGGAGTTCAGTAGTGGTCCCCCGGAATAGCCCTGAAAGATGGGCGCCGAGTGAATGATATATCGGTTTTCGGGAGAATTCATGCCATGAATAAACTGTTGATTGTCCATAGAGTTAGTCATCCATTGGTAGTGACCGGCGATCATACCGACGGCAACGGCCCCCTCGCAGTCCTGCGGATTCCCGATAGCCATCACCGCTTCCCCTATTGTTGGCTCCGATAATGACATATCGCAGTCATAAAATAAATCCGATTTAATATAAATCTTAATCAACGCTAAGTCCATGTGTGGCCACACATACACCACCTGTCCCTTCATCTCAGACATGTCTTCAGTCGAGTCGTATCCTTCCAACACATCTTTAATTTCGTATTCATAAAAAAATATTACGTTTACGTGCGATAAACCTCTGACCACATGAGCGTTGGTCACGATTAATCCCAAATGAGACACTATTATTCCCGTCCCGACTCCCGTTCCCGCTTTAATTTGAACCACACGTCCAATGCTATTGTCGTATAATTGTTGAAAGTCTACATTCAATTGAGCACTTCTTAGAGTCAAATGTGATCTGAATTGTATGAATGGTCTGAAATTTGTATGATTTGTATCGTTGCGTTGAAACCAATATTTGCCAACAATTATGGGAATCGTCGCCACAAAAGGTGTACTGAATTATGTAAGAAAAAAATTAGAATTTATATATTTGTCGTTAAGTATGAATGAAACCTTTGCCTTAATTTTGCAAATATAGTCCTCAATCCATACATTTTGAATAAACACACATAAAAATGAGACAATAGTTTGTAAGTAATTATTTTAAATAACACAATAATAGGCAATTCAAACACACAAACAATTAAATGTATTCATGAAATAATCTATAAATTTGTATTCAATTAAATCAATCATTTATTAAAAGTAATTAATAATATTATCAATTCTTTATTTAACAAAAATTATTCTTCGGTTAATACTGTATGTGATTGCAAAGGATGGCTACAAAAGTATAATTTCAATTTGTTATGATTTAGTAATAAAAAAGATAATAATTTTAAATTTTAATGTAATTTCAATTGTGTTGTATTGATTAATTATCAGAATCTTGTTTATCAGAAATGATTAATTTGTTTGCATTAATAGAAAAATTCAGATTTCAAATTAAAAAATTATTAATAAAAGTGTTTAAAGTCTTTGCGCCACAAATCCATAACAATTGCATTCAAATCAAACTCATTGTCGCGCAAGTGATCGGCGAATGACTGGATGAGTGCCTCGTGAGTGGACGCGTACTTCTTGGCCACGACTTTGCCCTCCAATAGTTCGGTCGACGACTGGACGAATATTTTGCGCGGTTTCTTGCGCTCCAACACTACTTCCCTATACGTGAGGAACGGGTGCTCCAAATCATTGGATACTTGACTGTAGGCGTCGAACATGCGTTCAGCCGATTCAATGTCTCCCAAAGAAATATACACTTGAAGTTTGAGCAGAAAATCTCCGATCGCTTTCTTCCCCACCGAAGCGATCAGTTCTCGATTCAAACCAATAGAAAGATCGCGATTTCCTGAAACAATGCGTTCATTATTACTGAACAACGAAAGGGAAAAACAAAGACAAACCGTCTTCGGGAGACTTCTCAACCAATTCAATGGAAACCAAGTCCGGAGACGCTTCCAAAAGCACGCGTATTATGACATAACGGGCGCGACTGTGCGCCTGACCCCACTTGCCAACAGTAGTGTTGTACATCTCGAGACTCAATATTCCTCTTTGAACCATTGAAAGCCAATTGACGTAAACCACGTGATCGGCTTCGGCTCCCGAAAAGCCAAAGATTCTGTGAAATAACGGGAAATAAGTTTCAATTGATTCACAATTGAGACCAAAACTGACTTTAAAACTTCGGGTTCGAGACTCAGATAAAGACCGACGCTTTCGGCGCGACATTCTTCGTAAGCGCTGCCGAGAGATTCGAACACAGAGTCATAGGATTCGCCCGTTTTGTACCACTTGTCCACTTTGTCGCCAGTCAACGGGTTTATGGTTTTCTCGGAATCAAAGTTGGGTTTTCCGTCTACTATTTGGAGCTGTTTTCCGCTTCCGTGACCCAAAAGCTCGTGGAGTCCGATCTGAACCTCCAAACTGTCGATTATATACTTTTCGGTGAGTTTCGCGTCGTCGGCGCTCAAGAAGTTGGGTTTGGGATCACTTAAAGCGGCGGTAATCGCATTCCCGAGCGACACGTTCTTAAAACCTTCGTTTTGTCTGATCTCCAAATAGTTGGGAATATTAATTCCGTACGGAATTCCCGAACCCGCGAATGTCAACACATCCAGTGAAGTAAAGTCCGGCTCAAGGAAGCAATCCTTTTCGAACTCTTTAGGCCACGGAAGCTTACCGTCTTTTCTCCCGCGTAAGCTCTGGTTTCTAAGTTTGAAAAAGCTGTTAAGAAACAAATGTTAGCTTTGCTTTGGATTCCTTTCTTTTTATACTTTTAACACTAGTTTTTGTGCGCTAAATTGAATGCCTTCAAATTCTGCCCGCATTCCCGCCGGATCTCTAAGGTTCTCAATGAATCCCATATATGTCTCCACAATCGGCTTTTTGTCGCGAATCCAGAATCGAGAGCCGTCTTTATGGCGGCGAAGATCTCCAGATTGGAAGTGACGGATGAATTGGTCAATCATTTGACTCTCGGTCTCATTTCTCGCAAATTCTTTCGCTTTCAATAAGTATTTGTTCGCAATCTTCAGAAGCGGTGAATAATCGCCGCGCGTTAACACAAACTTCGGATCCGTCGCACAGCAGCCGGCTTCTATTAGTGAAAGGAGATTCAGAAGTCTGCTGTTTTACCTGCGCTTAGACTAGAGTATAAACAGCAACAGAAACTTTTGCGCTGTTAACATACTTAGGTACAAGACAACTCTTCAAAACCGAATTAAAGACTAAATTCTGGTAACAATTGAAACAAACAATTGTTTGCATAAAGTTTTTGACGATTTCTGAATCTTCTTTTGTGCAGTTCTTCGAGAAATAAGTTGTCGTTCCCTTTGAGGAGAGAAAACAGGGATTAAAGACATAGAAAAAGGAGATAATCGATGGTTAAACAGACTTCTGGAGCGAAAGCGAGACTCAATTCGTTTTTCTCGAGAGAAAACATTCTTTGCTTAACATTAGTCCAAATGAATTCCAATTCCTTTTGATTGTTGCAAAAAGCGGTGGAATTGCGGACAAAAGCGTCCATTTTATTGGCGGACAAATCGGGAATGAATTTCGAGTCTCCGAAAGAGCGATAATTTCCCATATTTGACAAAAACGCCGACAAATACACTAATAATGCCTTTCATTGCGAGAAAAGTATTGTTTTGATATAAGTCTAAAAAATAGCCGAAAGTGTGAAATACCCGCCACTCGTTGTCCTCAAATTGAGCCACACTTTGGGCCAAAGCCTTCAACTCTTCGACCGATTGTTCGGCAAATAAACGCCGAAAGAGAGTGAATATAAGCGGAGATTCGGGAGAAGTCTTCGGGAAAAATACAATAAACAAAAGAGACAATGGATTGAGAGTTTGGGTTAACAGACCTGAAACAAGCAGACAATGGATCCAAACCAACAGCTCTTCGACAAGTAATGCGCGTAAAGTCTCTCTTCGTCTGTGAGACCATTGAAGGCGATCTCAGCGTCCAATTGAACCACTTTTGAAGACATTATACATAAGGGGTGTTAGTATTGAGCGGTTTTTAGTAATTGTCCTAAAAGTTTGCACCACTTGTCATACCCGGCGTGTCATTAGTGAAGACATACTCCGAAGACATCACTGTCTTTGAGGTGTGTTTTGAGCACTTGTTTGAAGAGTGAGAAGAAGTGATAATTAATGGTTTGTTTGAGTAGTTTTGGTGTATTTCATGAAATGTTTGCACTTTGACTGAAAATAACTCATTTCTCACATTTCATTTTGATCACAGTTTGTCAGCCAATCACAGCCTCACAACGTGTTGAGCATTGAATGTATTGCCATATATGGTATTCAAGTCATCCAATGCCACAACAAATGCATTCAAATTGGTTTCAAAGTCCAATCGATGCCTAAATATGTGACAAATCTATCCAAATATGGCATTATTCAAGAGATTCCGGGTTTCTATGCATAACGTGTGAAACTTTGGGCCAAACAATAGACAGCAAATGATCGCAATTCACGACAAAGTTTTTCACAAAACTATTAAATGTGAGACACAGACAGACAGACACTCGGAAAGCATTAAATCTTATGTTTTAAACAATACCAAAACTAATTGAAACTAGAAATGCAATAATACATGAATAAATACACAGACACTAAGTATGTCCATGAACATTTATCATGATCCATTGATGGCATATACTGATTTGAATGCTTGGCTAATTTAATAAAAATTAATATAACATTTAATCAATAAATAACATATGATATTGAATGCATTAAATAGTTTATTGATTTAAAATAATACAATTCTATGAGTTATTTGAATAAATGAATTAAATTATTTATTTTATACATTAAGAGAATTGTGGCCTAACTCACGGCTTTCGGTAAACCCTTAGCTAACACTAAACGTTAGGCAATGATTTGCGCTCCGAATATAACTCTAGCGTAAAGTTAGCTAGCTAGCCTTCGTAAAACTGATCCAAAGACACCACTTCTCTGCCATTTATATGAGTTATCACATCAAAGGGTTGGACCAAACCATTGGACGAACTTTATATATCATTTAATTTACATATCATTCAATTCATATGAAATAATTTTAAACATATTCAGAATATTTTTAATACAAACCTTTGAATACAACACTTTTCAAACTCTTCACTCGTCCACCAAATAATAATACCGTTTTTGTCTTCAGCGGGAATTACTATATCTTTATAATTGGGATACTTTTCTAACTGTTTCCTCAAATCCGTGTCCAACCACTTGACCACAAGTCCCAGTGATTTGTCGTCGATATAAGCGTTTTCTTTCAAATATCTGTCCAATACTTTACGGAAAACCTCTGAAAATGCAATCATTGTATTGAATATGTGTTTAAAAGTAGACAAACAATTAGATATAAATACGGAATAATTGATTGTCGACAGAGAAGGCAAAGGAGGTGTCGGTCTCCGAGTTTTGCGTAAAATTAATGCCAACCATCAGTCCGTCGGCGTTGACCAGAGCCGAGCCTATGCTCTCCTGAGAAGTGATGGCCGTGTGTTGAATGAACACATAGTCACCGAAATTAGCCAATTCTGGCACATCTCTGCCCGCAATCTTTGAACAACAGACCACACCATCGGTCACCTCATTATAGAGACCACACTTTGTGAAGCCGACGGTAAACACTCGGTCGTCCACTTCAAGTCGTGTCGGGTCTCCGAACTCAACGTACGGCCAGTCGGTGTTCACTCCCTCTATCTTAATGAGTGTCAACTTTGGGAACCGACTGATAACATAGGCCTTCACTTCCTTGCCGTCACTCAATCGGACCATTACTTGTGTATAGAAATCCATGAGTTTAGATGTGGTGAATATAACGCCTCTATAATTGATGATAACTCCAGACCCCAAGTTCCCCGTATTTCCAGTGCAGTGTCTGTTGCAACAAATGATGGCCTAATTGTCACAAACGGTGCGAACCATTGATCACTAAACGGTTTCAGTTTTGATGGCATTGTCGACGAGTCCCTTAAATAAACGTTTCTTAAGAGCAACGGTTGTCTCGAGTAAATATTTGTTGCCATCGTTTGTGTCGATTGTCTTCTCTTGTATTGAAGCCAATAATTTGTTGCAATCATTGGAATCGTTACCACAAATGCTCTACTGATCCACAAATTCATTATAAAATTTCAATGTTATTATAATTATTTCAAAATTGATTTTTAATTTAAAATTATCGATTAATACGTTAGTTAATAAGTAAATAATATTGTATAAAAAATACATTTTTATATCAAATTAATTTTTAATTTGGTTTTACATTTATAAAGTAATTAGTAATTATAAATGTTGATGT